GGTCATTTGAATTTTTACCGAGTTTTCAAATACGCACTAATAAAGACTGACTCCTGTAAAATAATCTAATACTTCGTTTGCATTACAGTCTATATCACGTAATATAGGCTGTCTTGCGATGAGCACTCATACATAGGATTTCCAGTGAATACTAGATGTATGAGTGCTCATTGCAATACAGCGTATATCACGTGATATACGCTGTTATGTGAACGGGGTATAAAAGTGTACGTCAACACGCAAAAAAATGGTTCCTATATTCGTGAACAAAAATACATGAAATTTACAGCTCTCAGTTGGTTCAAAATCATAACTTGATTCCCGAAAACGTGATGTGTTAATTCACATTTTCATGAACAGGATCCCAAATCCATGAACTTAGTTCATGTCTGTTCTCCACCACCGTAATTAGCAGAAGATTAAACATCTTATTTGGGCCAATGGTAACAGATTCAACCGTCCAATCCGTCAGGTTGTATGGATCAGCTGACACGTATTTCACGATAGCAGCTTATCACCAGCAATGCACAACAGTGGTGACCGTCAACTTAATCAGATTGGAAAATTCTTTCTTCCAGACCGGCAAGATTTACTGCGACAGACGTAAGTTTCACGTTCAGATCCGATCAACTTGAGTACCTCAGCTAGCAGGTACTCCAGTCGTACAGTTTTCAAAAGTTGAAATACTGTAACTCTACCATACCTTTAGGTCTGATGTTCAGTGCGGGCCAAATGGGGAACTACCTTGTCTTTCGCTTTCCTAAATCCTGGTCAGCTTTCCCACCTGCCTATACTTCGTACACACAACAAGTTCAAACACTTATATTAGAGCACAAATTCATTAACAATGTGTCAACAGATCAAGGAAATTATTCACAGTCATAATAAATAAATTTGACACTTCAAAACTATTTTCCCATGTTCATGAACAGAATCATAATATCAAGAACAACTTCTGAACTATAGACACGTTTTCCAGAACTAATACCCCGTTCACATTACAGCCTATATCACGTAATATAGGCTATCTTGCAATGAGCACTCATACATAGGATTTCCAGTGAGAACTAGATGTATGAGTGCTCATAGCAAGACAGCGTATATCACGTGATATACGCTGTAATGTGAACGGGGTATAAATCATGATTTTCAGAATAGAGTTCACGTTTTCATGACACAATTGTGTTGCCGTTAGGGGAAACGCTCCTATAGTTGCGGTACGTTAGAAGCGTTAGGTTCCTATAGTTGTGTACGGAGTCTCCATACACAACTATAGGAACCTAACGCTTCTAACGTACCGCAACTATAGGAGCGTTTACCCTACCGGTGAGCGACGTACGCTTACTCAGGCGTTACTTTAATTTTGCAGAAAAGAATTGTTTGCGAATTCATGATCTTTATTCATGGTGTGCATTCGTAAAGCGATAATCGATTTGTTCCGAAATTCGTGACTTGAGGTTGACGAATTTCAGAATGGATTTTTTAGTAGGTAGTAAGTAGTAGTTGACAGTTGGTGAGGATCGTTTGAAACAGTGGGTCTTCAATTGATCGAGATGACAAAATACGTTGAACAGAATTGATTGGATGGCTCTAATCTGGGAGTTCTAATAGACCGCCTTCAATTGAATGATACGAAAATTGGCCGCATTGCACGGATATTTATAACGCTTAGATCTAATTTTGGGCATGCTAAGTACGACCCGCGCTTTGCCTCTATTTTACGAGCGGATTTGTTTTCCAAAAATTGTTTTTGAGAATATTGTGTGCAAACATTCATATCACGCGTTCTTATTGACTTCGTTCGGTAGCATTTGAACTAAAGTATTGTACCAAACGCATAATTGACTTGTTAACGCCGAAATCATGGATTTATTGGATGTTTTCTGCTCGATTGGCCCGAGGCGATTAGGCTGAAGTAATTCTCTACTCTATTGCCTTCAAAAGTTTGCATAACACACCGTTCATCCGCACTAGGAATAGGGTCAAAGGGTCAGATCCTTTTGAGACGTACGTTTCTCCGGAGAAGCGCCTCGACCGGTGGTTCCCTGTAAACACTTGAAAGCAACGGTGTCGCAGGAATTTCCTGACAGACCCCATTCTGCCCATGATCCAGTTGTCGGGCGTTAAAGTATCTGTTCGCTTACCAATAGAACAGGTGTCTACGGTTTGTCTGCCATTCCATGATCTTACTAACCCAGTATTAGTATTAGTGATTTTCGCTCCACAGTGGTCAAACGGCTTCAAATCGGGTCCTGATCAGCTTCCAAAATTTGAACTCTTTGATAGGAAATTGACTTGGCACAAACCATTTGAAGTTTATTTGGAAATTACTATGGTTAAACTGAACTTTTTATTCAATGTCTTTCAGTCTTTGCCGATATTGCCCTGATGAAAAGTTCTACAGCTATTCTTCTCAGAAATTTTCTCTGCTACAACTGTGCAGAAGATATTTTTCAGCCAAACGTCATATTAAATAGTTATGGTTATTACTTATTTAAGAGATTGATAATCTTATGGCATGATCGAGCAGCTGTTTTGTGGGCAACACTGTATTGTGCAGTGTAACATAGTAGCCATGGTTTTTGTGCTCTATATTCCACGTTTCAGAAACACTAGAGAGAGTCTAGGATAAGAGAGGAGCGGATTCAAAATAAACTGCCTTGGCAACCTATGTCTAGCAAAACTGCCAATGCCATCAAGATAGGCGCTGCTTGATTGGCTCTGACTTTGACAGTTCGTTTGGCTCAAAGCCAGCCAGTCCGGTCCTCTCTTATACTAGACCCTCTCTAAGAAACACCAATGTTGCTTGCTGAGTAGTTGATAGAGCATAATCATAAGACACCAGCGACTTCAATCATTTGTGACTTTTGTTCCATACATTTTAGCGAAAAGTGGTCTTCAGCGGATGAGGAAATTTTCTATAAGCACAAGTATTATTTTTACAGCAGAGCGATATCTTTTGAGAACTCACAGGAGTTTGCCCTTACCTTCAGGAGTAAGGTTTTTCAGTTACTGATGAGTTGACTTCATCTGGAACAGTTGATTTATCCTTAACTCTGGAGAGAACTAGGTTCAACTACTGAGAAAACGTTCCCCGCTAAGGGCGTGAATTCTAGGACTTGTAATTGGTAACTTTTCCACGAAATCCATTCAATTGACATATAGGGTAGATGTACCAGTTATGGCTATACGTTCCTATCAAAGTGTGTTCCAATTGTGGCTTATGGGAATTCCATAGGCCATAATTGGACCACACCATAATAGAAACGTATAGCCATAACTGATACACCTACCATAATCAAAACAGACACGAGCAAATCTTCAATACGGCACTGCACAGTGGTCCAGAATGCTATTTTAGCAGGAATAGTAGTCCTAGAGTTTTTGCTGTAATATTTAGAATCTTTGGTGAAGTTTTTGTGCTTCGATAAATTCCCTTCTTTTGATGGTTGTGAACATTAGGGTAGCCCTCAAATTAATTGATTTTCAGAAACTAACTTTTTTGTTTTGAAATTAAAGAAATAATTAATTTTTAAATAAATTAATTAGGGTGAACCTGGAAAATGTAGTTTTTTAGCTCTAAACCTGTTGTTTTATTTTTTTTATGAAAGTAAACTTGAAAAAAACATTTATGATTTGTAAAATACACATTTTTTCCGGATAAAATAAATTGATATCTCTTAAAGATCTTAACGATTTTCTTTATGAAATACGCTCGACATTTGAGTTAATTACTCAGTATGGGCTAATACACACACTTTTTGAAGCCAGCATTTGAAAGGACAAGTTGAAGTATTAAGTGCCCAACTAAGTTCTCGCTGTTTTTGTCATCAGAACATTTTATTTATTCGAGCTTTTGTAGCTTTAAATTTCATTCTACCGTTTTGTCCTTTTGAATTTAATTCGACTTTTTGTCCATTGGACTTTTTGTCCATTGGACTTTTTGTCCCTTCGGCGTTTTAACCATTATTTTGTTATTCAACCTTTTGTCATAGATTCTACCACGAAATTTTGTTTAAACTGTGAAGAATTCTGAAGTGATCTGGAATCTTTAAGGATGTTTGAGACTTGGGCAAGGGTGTTTAATGTACTTTTTGACTGCACTGAAAACGAATCTTATTCAAAGAGTAAGCATACATTTTTGAAAGCTTATGGTTGTGTAGTTAAAATTTGGACATGCTTCAATCAAAACATTAACTCTAATGAATTTCGTCTTGAAATTTTCAATACAAATTTTGTGTTCAACTTATTGCTATAGGCGCTTTCTTCAGGATACTGCTTAGAAGTTGATATATAGAATTTAGCCTATGCAAATCTAGATAGAACTGGAATTAGGGCGTAACAGCTTTTGTAAACAATGACTTCTTTCGATGATTTCTAGAAAGTTAAGGCTTGCCAACGCAAATCAACCACACCATCGGTTAGGGAAAGACTTGCCCTACCCAAAGGTTATGTTGGTTTGCGTGGGCGTGCCTTGAGTTCCTAGAAATCATCGATAGAAGTCATTGTTTACAAAGGCTGCTTCGCCCTAATTCCAGCTCTATCTAGAAATATTCTTAAAACGCCATACCTACCGTATGATAATCAATTTTGTTTGCAGATTTTTCCTTTCACCGGCTACATATTTTCTCAATGACAATAGGAAACGTTTTTTGTGTAGGTAGGACTTTCTGCAAATTTCGTTATGGAAATAACTTCGATAGTTTTGACTTAATGAACATGCGTGGTTGTTCATCGAGTTTGTTTGGTGGGTGAACTACTGAAGCCATCTCGAATGAGTTAGAATAACCTTCCTGAACACATGCTTTGTTTTGCAAAACATCAAAATTCGACTAATCTCTGGTGCACTAACGTTAAACTAACTTCTGATGTGTCCACTAAATGCATAACAATCAACGTGTATAATCAACTGTGGTTTAAAAATCAAGGTATGTAGTTTGTAATATCTCACGAACACTTACATATACAATCTTCCACATTATGAAATCATCGGTTTTGGTCAATTTTGTGCTGTAAAACACATTACTAAATAATGATTACCTTTCTCTAATTGGTGTAAGTATACTGAAAAATCGCAGCCGACGGAGCCCGAATCGGAATCAGCTGCGAGCCGATACCGTTCTTCTCCTTGACCACCATGTAATCCCGACCGTTGATCATTTTACGCGAGGTGCTATCGCTATCGATGTTGCTTCCGAACAGACTTCCGCCGCTGGTATGCCGGCTGAAGATTTCGGTATAAGGCGGCGGAGGCGAATCTCCGTAGCCGATCGCTTTGTTCAGGTAGGTAATCCTTTCGCTCGGTAGCTGAGGGTTCGTTAACTGTTCCTTGTTCAGTTTGCGTTCGTTCAGCACTCGGAAGAACATCTTCGGTGAAACAGAGATGGGAAAGTTATTATATTATCATTTGAGCAAACTAGTTTGAACTAATTTGGTACCTCCGAGAGGAATACGGCAATCGCGGTAGCAAAACCAGTCAACATCACCAAGTACGTCATGACCAAGTCCCGATTCTTCAGCTGACGTTCAGTACCGCCCAAGTTCTGCGGGCAAATTTCGGCCTTCGGTAGGTTTTCCAGCAGTTTGAATTTAACAAGACCTCCTTCGACCATATTGAGCAGCCTGAGGAAGATGACAGATTGACAGACAAAAACTTCATGGAAGAAAATACCTTCGTTTACTCACTGAGGATCGAACAGCGTGTTCCAACGGGTGGTATTGGGATAGGCAAATGCGCGAACCCGCTTCAGGAAAGGCGTCGTCGCCGTAGCGAAGGGGCAATGGCTGCGTTCGTTGATCGGGTTCACTTTGCGGCGGACCAGGTAGTCCTTGTACACCAGGTGTTCGATGGCCGGTCGATCGCGAACGTAGACGTAGTTTTTCTTGGTCACTGTAGTCATGAGAATGTCACTGTCGTTCAGATTGGTGGTGAACTCCACCAAATGTTTGTCCACCAAAACGCTCAACGAATTCAAGGCTTCGTCACTCTGTTAAAAATAGAACTTTTATCATTGCAAGGTACAGTTTAGTAGGCACAGACACTGCCAAAGGAATGAAGGGATATATAAATCAAGTTGCCTTATAGTTGCCGAGTAAATCGAGGTAGGCATTGATTTATACCATCGAACGGCAACGGTCTACGTGGAAGGCGAGATAGAGGTTCATCAAATATTCTATTTATTTTTGGTTCATTCTCGTACACCGACAGCGGTGACCACGTGCGCCCATTATGTTGTCAGGGCGGGAGGTGGTGTTGATTTTTGATTTCAATAACGACGACAGACATCCCGACGACGAGAGGGTGTCTGCTCACCCTTCCTTGTCATGGTGCTTCTGGCGGAGAGAGTCTCATAATTTACTTGATCAAATATTTATCACTTTCACACGGTAAACCCAAACGAAGGTTCGATTTATGTGAGCTCATCAAGCGACAAAAGCTCGGCAAGTAGAACCCTCAATCGAACACTACGTGGTTGATTAATAATTAACCGCTTTCGGCAAGTGAGCAGGTGCTACTACAACAAGTTGATCAATTTGTTCATTCACTTGTTTTACGATTTGTCGAGCCCATCTACAAGTCCGAGATATTTTTTGGGTACTTACGTTCTTGATGGCGTACTCGATGGCGTTTCCACGGATGGTGACAAATTGCTTCTCCTTGCGTCGGACATCTTCGGCATTGTTGATGGGCAAGGTGAACTTGGATAGCGTCAGGAAAGCAGTCAGGTTGGCCGTGTAGAACGAGGTGAGGATGGTTATGAATATCCACCAGCTGGCGAACAGGATTCTTGTGGAATCTGGAAATTTCGATAGATTTTTAGTTTCAGATTGATAATTCGTTGTGAAATACCTCCTTGAAATATATTTACGTCTGCACAATTTGTCTACAAATTCTTCAGTTTAACAAACTACGCAATTGAACGCATACATTCACTTGCAACTCAGTTGTATAGAATGATAAAATGGAATTCTTTGAGATCGATTGAAATATAATATAGAATTATTGAGATAACATACTTTTGTGCTGTTACTCAGTTACCAAAACTTCAATACAAAATTTATTGAAACTTGCCTGTCATGCCTCGACCTGCCAGAGTTTTTTTTTGGCATTCGTGTTTGTACAATTTTCTCCCGGAATGAGCAGTGGTTAATTCAATCTACTCAAAGATATCATTGTAAGTATATGTAGATATTTTTTTACTGTAACTTCCATTGTTAATTTAGTAGAAGCAAAAGAATAATTAAAGACCGCCCTTTATTTGTTGTTGTTGGGTCCAACATCATGAGGATATATTTGGATATATGGGTCCAAAATCATGAGGATATATTTTTATAGTAAGTATAGCTAACGTGTTTATCCACAGATCTATGTAGTGAAAGCTTGCCGTAGTGAACACCATACACATTTCAAATGGCCTGTGCTCAGCTAGCAAAACAAATCTAGGCTAATTATGTCAAATTGCAATAACCATTGTTACCAGAAAGTCTAAGCATCCTATATGAAAGTTATCGGCTTCGAATTTAATTAATATCTAATTTCCTTGACTTTAAAATCAAAAACTGGTCTTGAGCAAAGATGTAGCTGAGAAAATTTCACATAGGCACAGATAGCAAGTTACCATGTATATCATTAGGAGATAAAATGGAAATGAAAAGTTCACTTTTCCCATACTAATTCGCATATAAACTTCAAAGGACTAGAATAGCATGAGATCGCAACCAAATGAGTTAAAATTTTGATAGAATGATCAGGACCTGATTTGGAATCGATTTTGTGAGGTAGAGCAAAATCGATATTTTGAACCACCCTAACGTACACTGATTCGTTTCCTTGTGATGGCCAATAATTTCTGTTTTCATTAAAACAATTTCTTTGATTTGAACAATTTACCGATGACCACCGCTCGCATTCATAGAAAGTCATTATTATAATAAAGCGGGTGCATTGCATCGAACTCAGGCGGAGGAAAATATTTACATGCAACTGCGCTATTACACTGGGTGCATGTGGGTGTCCCATCAGTTTCAGGCAAAAAAAGTTACTCGATGATAATCCCATTTGTGTACTTTGTAATTATCGTTGTTTTTCATTCGCCTCCTGGGTGCCACTAAAAATTGTCCATCCGTTCCGCCCTTCCAAACCAGAGTTTTCAAATTACAGACCATAAGCCTGCTTCCCATTTCATAGGGCTGTAAACTTTCGCTCTTCAATCCCAGCCACGTGCCTTCCTAGCAGAGCTATAATTTACAAGCCAAATGGATCTCCTCTTTCATTGATAGAGTGATAAGTAATGGGCATGAATAAATGAAAGCTTACCTCCCGTCGGTGACAGGGTACTGCCCTGTTTCATCAGCGCACCGTAGACAAACCAAATACAGTGGGGCAATGGGTACAGGACCTGTTCCTTATCCTTGGTCATTTTGTATCGCACAATCAGCATACCGTAGATGATCGGACCGACGGCCAGAAGCGACACGAGTATCAAGATCCACACATCCCTGTTGAAGGGAGCTAGCAGACCGGATCCACTGGCCGATTCCATCGGACGGACCATTATCATCATCCATTCGCCTTCGTCCAGCCCGGCCGAATAGAGAATGTGCCTCCGGGCGTCCGCCAAGATGGGCAGGAATGCTACGGCAATGTCCGCTTTTTCGTTGGCCAACAGTTCGATTATACTGCCGTCCATGTCGTTGCTCGAACCGACAATGTTGTGCTCCGGCATGACCAGGGTGTAGTTGAACTTGAACTTTTCCATGAGGAACTCGAGCAACTCGAAGGCCACGCCACGTCCAACTAGGGTTCCATTTTGACGCTCGGTGTAGCTCAGGGGCCAATCCTAGTATGTTGAAGGAAAAACTGATGTTAGAATATGAGGACAGAATGTTATTTACTGTTTAATACGAGACGAACCAACGCACGGTTGAATGTCTCGAAAATCAACTGAATAACTTTTATCAAACTGATTCTTCAGGATCTTGAGGATACACCGAATGGCGCTCTTGAAAATGCATGAGGTACATATCAAGTTGATTTAAACTTTGGAGCATAAACTTAGTTTTGCCCTTAGTAATTAAAATACAAAAATGAAAAACGAGGAGTGTTGAGAGTTAAGAATTATCAAGTTAGAACGGCCCTAACGGTTATTACTTTTAAACATGTTATTGTCAAAGTTGTTGGTGGGTGAAGTAATTTATCATCTCGAAACATACTTTTTTTTAGGAAAGTCTGGCGCTAAAAGACATTCTCAAGAAGAATTTTATTTTGCACGAATTTCGAAAACATCAAATCGAAATTTTATCCCACTCGAACTATTGCTCCACCTTACTCTATGCACATTTTTTGTTGAACATAGTAAATCCTCTTTACTATGGTCTAGGGTAAGAATTGTGTGTTCCAAATACATTATAATAACAAATTGTTATTAACAATATGATCCACACTTTCGCTTAGCTGGCGAACCAAATTTTTAGCGATGAACGCACCTTTGTGGCCAAAAAGGCTACCAATGTATTTGTTTATCGTCACAAGGGGTAAACCAAATGAAAATTTGTTTAATATTTCAAATGAATGTATTTCAGCATTTTATTTTATTTGATGACAACAGTGACATGTCAGACAAATTTTAAAGTAATATACACAATGTAAATAATGAATATAATTTGACTCTTACTTTTGTTATAAGTGCTATATTCGCACCCCTCGATTGTAATTGAATGATTGTTGCTGACCTTTTTCAACGCTAGATGGTACGTGAAGCAATATTTTGCGGGTCGCCATTGCAACATTTGGAAAAGGCATGAATGGATCAAATTGCTAATATGATATATTTGGTTTTTCGTAAACTTTTTTTTGAGTTAAATGATCTGTCTTTTTGCATTTTTTTTAAATTAGGGTGGCTCTCAAATTTATTGATACGTATACATTCAAAAACCAACTTTCTTATTTTTAAAAATAATGACATATGGTCCAATGACCATTGGTCATCGACGAAGTTGTAGTTGAAATGATTTAAAGCAAATTTGTTGCATATTTTTTTCTTTGCCTTATCGCTCTCATTTTAGATACTTTTTTCAAAATTGAGCTAGGTTAAGTGTGCCTATTTTTGGCCTTAGTTATCTTCTATTGCCTTATCTTAAAATTCACCTTGTTTCATTCTTTACCACAATTATTTTGACACATAGTTACAACAGACATTTTGCCATAATTATACGGAAAAGAAAACCATGAACATATATTTCAATTTTGATTTAGATCCTAGGTCCAAAAATTGGAGCGCTAGTGCCAAAACTGACGTCCACAATCCTATAAAAAATTTCTTAAATGAGAACGATAAAAGATAGAAAAATTAGCGAAGATGGGTAGATTAGCTACAAAATGGTGAGTTGACAACCTGGAAGGAGCGAAATACCTAGCCCTGGTCCTCACAAGTTTCTGCTTCACGCCTCCCCGAGTCATATGATAACAAAATACTACCAGCTGAAATATGGACACAGCTGGGGTGCGTAGCCTGGGCAATGTTGCCAGTCCGACAATAACAAAGTGAAGAGGTGCGACGCGAACACTGGCGCGGTAACCATAGTATGGTGATAGAGGAAATGCCGCCCTGAAAAAAACATAAAGTTGCAAATACTGAAGAACGAAATACGGATCGGAACAAACGACACAGATCTACGCGACGGAATAAGGACTACGATTGGAAACTCGGAACATGGAACTGCAAATCGCTCGGCTTCCCGGGCTGCGATAGGTTAATCTATGACGAACTTCAACCACGCAACTTGGAAGTCGTAGCACTGATTGGTTGACAGCCGATCAACGCGAGGGATGTGCAAGTTGAGGATTAAGGGCTGCTATAGCATCATCAACGTGCACTGCCCACACGAAAGGAGACCCGATGACGGGAAAGAAGCGTTCTATGCGCAGCTGGAGCAGGTGTACGACGGCTGTTCGCAACGGGAGGTCAAAATCGTCATCGGCGACCTGAACGCTCAGGTAGGACGGGAGGCAATGTATAGATTGGCAATCAGGCGAAACAGCCTGCATGCCGTATCGAACGATAACGGCCAACGATGCGTGAACTTTGCAACCTCTCGAGGAATGGTAGTTCGAAGTACCTTTTTCCCCCGCTAGGATATCCACAAAGCCACCTGACCAACACACAGAAAACCAAATCGATCATGTTCTAATTGACGGGAAATTTTTCTCACGTACCGCAGTTCGGACCACTACCTAGTTGCAGTAAGCATGCGCTCAAAACTCTCGACGGTGCACCCGTCAAAGTCGAACCCCGCGACCGAACATTAAGCAACTGCGGGACGCCGGAGTTGCCCAGGACTACGCGCAGCAGCTGGAAGTTGCACAACCCACGGAAGAGCAGCCTGGCGCAGCTTCCCTTGAAGATGGCTGGAGGGACATCCATTCCGCCATAGGTAGTACTGCTGCAGCGGCTCTGGATACTGCAATCCCGGACCCAAGAAATGACTTGTTTTACGGCGAATGCAAACTGTTAGTAGAGGAGAAGAATGCAGCACGGGCGAGAATGCTGCAACACCGTACGAGATTGAATGTGGAGCGATACAGACAAGCGCGGAGCAGACAAAACTCGATTTTCCGAAGGAAGAAGCGTCAGCAGGAAGACCGAGATCGCGAGGATATGGAAAATCTGTACCGCGTAAACGACACACGCAAGTTCTACGAGAAGCTAAATAGTTCGTTCAAAGGTTACGTGCCGCAAGCCGATATGTGCAAGGACTTGGACGGTAGCCTTCTCACGAACGAGTGTGAGGTGATTGAGAGGTGGAAGCAGTACTATGACGAGCATCTCAACGGTGAAGCAGTAGAACATGAAGGTGGCACGGCAACAGACCTTGGAGCACGCGCAGAAGACGACAGGCTACCGGCCCCTGATCTTCAAGAAGTTGAGGAGGAGATCGGTCGGCTGAAGAACAATAAAGCAACTGGTGTAGATCAGCTACCAAGTGAGCTATTAAAATACGGTGGTGAAGCACTGGCTAGAGTGCTGCACTGGGTAATTGCCAAGATTTGGGAGGACACAGTTGGATTGCTGCAACTACCGCGCGATCACATTGCTGAGCTGCACCTATTTGCAAGAGAGTTCGTGGGGCAATACCAGGCGGGATTCATGGGTGCCCGCGCTACTACGGACCAAATTTACGCGATTCGGCAGGTTCTGCAGAAATACCGTGAATACAACGTGCCCACACATCATTTGTTCATCGATTTCAAATCCGCATACTACACAATCGATCGGGATCAGCTATGGCAGATTATGCACGAGTACGGATTTCCGGATAAACTGACGCGATTGCTCAAGGCGACGATGGATCGAGTGATGTGCGTTATTCGAGTATCGGGGACACTCTCGAGTCCCTTTGAATCTCGAAAGGGGTTACGGCAAGGTGATGGACTTTCGTGTCTGCTATTCAACAGCGCGTTAGAAGGTGTGATCAGAAGAGCTGGGATAGACACGAGTGGCACGATCTTCAGGAAGTCCATCCAGATTCTTGGCTTCGCCGATGACATTGACATCATGGCACGGAGCTTTGAGACGATGGCTGAAACGTTCATCAGACTGAAGGCTGAAGCTAGGCGGATTGGACTGGCCATCAACGCCTCAAAGACAAAATACATGAAAGGAAGAGGTTCTAGGGAAGACAATGTTAGCCTCCCACCCCGAGTTCAGATTGACGGTGATGAAATCGAGGTGGTCGATGAGTTCGTGTATTTGGGCTCACTGGTGACCGCCGAAAATGATACCAACAGAGAAATTCAATGACGCATTATGACAGGGAATCGTGCCTACTTTGGACTCCGGACGAAGTTGACTGTCTACAAGACGCTGATTAGACCGATGGTCACGACGACCCAGTGAAAATGGTTCTAGAAAGCGACCCAACAGAAACAAGAAAAAGAGGCACGCAGCGGGCAAGGTGGATCGACCAAGTAGAAGGCGACCTACGGACCCTTCGCAGACTACGAGGCTGGCGAAGTGTGGCCATGGTTATCAGCTTGGGTGCAAATGCTATCTAACATGAAGCTTTAGTGTTATAATTTATTAGCTAGAGTATGGTCCGAACGGGGTAGGTAGATAATTCTGCTAAAGTACGACAGTATGAAAAAATTAATAACCGTTCTCTAGTGGAACAATCTACCTACCCTCTTCAGACCATTTTCTAGCTAATAAATTATCACAGCAAAGCTTCTTGTTAGATAGCATTGCCAACCAACTCCGAAAATCGCAAACTTCGCGTATGAAGCAACATAAAAACACTTTGAATGAAATCAATATTCTGCATTAAGCGACATTTCCAAAATTCAGAGACTTGGAGAATTATGAGATTTGATAAATTTTGTTATGAGACTCTGATCAGAAAAATTGAAGACTAATCCCGGTCTAGGAGAAATTTTTCCCAATTTTGAAACTATGGTTGAGGTTCAACTGTTGAGTTTTCACTTCAATTTGGAAGACGACAGATAATGACTTACATTTTGATAACCAAAACTGCGTTCTTTTCGAAAATCATACGAGTGGAGTTTTCGAACATTTCAATTTGTTTTCGAAGTGTAATTTTTAGGACAAAATTCTTCAATTGGACCACAGCGTAAGTTTAGGGTGGCCAGCGAACAGAGAAAATCCGCAAAACCGGAAATTTGATAAGTAACCAGGAAACCTGGGAAAAACCCGGGAATTCGGGAATTTTACGCTTCAAAAATAATTTTTGTTTCGGCACCTTTTCATTTTTCTAAAAAAATGTAAAAAAAAAATATGAAAAATCCCAGGAGATCAGTATTTTTTAGATTCATGAGAAAGTTACGTAAAAATATTTTATTCTATAACATCCTCAAAAAAAATGGAACCTCAGTAAAACCAAAAGGTCGATGTCTTGGGGTTTTTTTGAGTCCAATTTTATGCCATTATGACTTTCAAAAAAAAATGTTTTTGCACGTAAATTCTGTTTAAGAAGTTTAAAAAATGAATTGTATATTCATTTTTTCATTTTTTTTTATCGTATATTCATTATGATTTCTGAACCATGCGGATTTCTTCTTATTCTTCTTCTTCTTCTTTCCTTTATTTAACGTCGGTCTCTGTTCCGCAATCTAGTGCCAATCACCGACGGACATCGATTGCCATCCATTGACGGCAATCGAATGTGCAGGAAGGCAGCTTCCACAACTGCGTAGGATATTGCACCCATTCAACACACATGGGCCAGGACCAACGGCTTTACTTCCCCTTCCGAAGGAAGACGTGACCAGAGATTTTTATGCCTCAGAAAAATCCCACCGTGTGTAAACAAAACTTGTATGGCCCTTTTCGCGCTAATCAAAGTAGGAGGAATTGCAAAACTTAACTAACGACATTCTCGTTTTTATCACAAAGCTAACTCTTTCGACCAAAGTTTAATTAAGAATATCCGTCAAACACTAACGAAAACGTTTTTTTTTATGCAAAACAGTGTCACAATCTAGAGAAAATTCATGAAACCAGTGAAAAGTGTACGTTCGTCGTTTCTCTTTCTCATTATTAAAGTGAATAAATCGAACTGTTTGTTGCTAAGATGATTTCGGTGGTCCTAAAATGATGAATGGGCTGCACGTAAGGAGACGTAATTGATATTTCTCCCGAATATCCTGGTAAATACACTTTGACTTAGGTAACAATAGGGGCCACCAAACGACGTATAATAACTTTTGACTCAAAAACCAGTATTTCTTAGCATGAAAGCTAGCGATTTGCCTTTGTATGATTAAAACCCGGCTGAATATGTTAAACATTGCCATCACTATGAGATTATATGTGTTTAATTGGAAATAGGAATAACTTTTCGGTCATCAAAACAAAACTTTATTTTTCTCGGATCGATGCGAATGTTACTTACGACATAATGAAAATTTGCTCTTGAAATGTTCTTCTAATTTAAACTCAAACATTCAAACCGGTGTGCAAGTATGATGCACGTCCAAAGCGTACCAGACTGCTGTTTCTGTGTTGCTCCCATTTGACGCGTGACTGCTGAAAGTTTCATTTACAACTAGTGATGCAAACCGCGTATTGTGGAAATATGTGGTATGTTTCAAGAGGTGAAAGAAAGTCTGCTTGGCTTACACCAGGCATTTGACCATTCACAAACTTGCCACCCGCCAAACAAAAAACCCGCTTTCAGGTGCACTATTTAACGAGTTTTGTCATGGTAGTGATATTTACATGCTTAGAAATCAATGCATTAGGGATTATGCAGACCACCCGAACTGAATTTAATCCTTTTTGAAGCAAACCAAGGTCGAAGATTTAATTGAGCCACACTATAAAATAGTGTATTCATGCTCATTTGTGGTCTGGAATAAAGAAATACAGCTATAATGTGACCATAAAATCTATAAAAATCTAAACGCATTTTTTTAAAAATTATGTGCACCTGTGTCGTGCACAGGTTGCACATGTGGACGCGATGCTTTTCCAATGGGGTTAAAATTGTTCAATCGAAACTTAGATTAGTTTCCGGTTACTTTTAATCCGCGTTCAAACAAGAGGAACAATTCTTCTACATTGTCTTATTATCACGAAAACCTCTTATAACAATTGGCAGTTTCAAAATATCATGGAATCCTACTTAAAAATCTTTTATGAGAATTTCACCATTTTGGAAATTTGAAATTATTTTCAACATTTCCTTGAATTTTAGGCTCTCAAAATCCTTCTGATTTTACACAGAAATGAGTTGGATTTATCTTTTTTTAATTTTCTTGAAACTTTTCTTAAGAATGTTATATAGGGGAAATGTAGGTAATGTCGGCCTACATGTTCCTAATTTGGGCCCATCGTTAAAAGTCTGCTATTTATCAATTTTATCTAGATGAGCGCGTTATTGGGACGTAACTAATGGATATTATTGGTTGCTATTGAAAATTTAGTTGATTGCTGAATTTATGTATGGGCCAAATTAGGGACACTTAGGCCGACATTACCTGCATTTCCCCTGTATATTAGACTTAAGCAAAATTTGAAATTTTCGCTCCACAGTGTTCAAACGGTTTCAAATCGGGTGCTGATTAGCCTCCGAAAGTTTAAACTCATTTGATAAGAAACTGACTTGGCACAAACCATTTGAAGTTTATATGGAAATTACTATCGGAAAACGAAACTTTTTGTGCATTGTCTTCTAGCCTTTTTACATACTGTACTTTTAACAAATTCTATTGCTATTCTTATGAGAATTTTTATCAGCTACAACTTTGCAGAAAATCATTTTTCAGCCAAACGCCAAATTAAATAGTTATTAATTGTTTAAGAGATTGATAATCTTATGGCAAGATTAAGCAACTGTATTGTGGGCAACACTTTATTCTGCAGTGTGACATGGAGCCATGATTTTTGTCCTCTATTCTACGCGCCATAAACACCAATGTTGCCTGATGAACAGTTGATTGAGCATAATCATAAGACATCAGTGACTTGAATCATTAATAATTTTTGTTCCTTACATTTGATCGAAAAGTGGTCAAGTAGAGTGAACGGGTGCATTTTGAGATAGATATGAACCGAAATTATGGTTTCTTTTTAGTAATTCCCATATAAACTTCAAATGGTTTGTGCCAAGTCAGTTTATCACTAAATAAGTTCTAATTTTGGGAGGCTAATCAGGGCCCAATTTGGAACCGTTTGAGCACTGTGGAGCGGAAGTTTTAAATTTTGCATCAGTCTAATATATATCTATATGGTATATTCAATTACCCCATTATATTAGGATTCCTTTGATATTTTCTCGGAATACACTTGATGCTATTTTCTGAATCTTCCTCAGATTTTCTTAGAAATTATCTTCAGAACACGTTTTAAATTCGGCTTATAATTCATTTTGAACATCAGATTTCCCTTTAAATTGTCCTTAAAACTCACCTGCTATTCTCCTCACGATTTCCATAAAATTATCCTTAGAATCATCTAGGAATTTAATTCATAACTTCCTTTCTTTGCCACAAAAATCCCTTGGTATTCATCTTAGAATTTCTTAGGGCTTTGTCTCAAAATTATCTTGGAATTCTGGTCAGAAATCCCATAGATTTTTTTTAGAAAACCTTCTCAGCATTTCATTGGAATCAACACTTTAATTTCTTCTAAATTCTCCCTAAAATTTTAGGTAATCTTGGCAGAATTAACCAAACCTTTCAATTTTTAAAACCCAGAAAATTATTGTAAGCTCAAAGCATTAAAAACTTTTTAGGGCAAAATTTGGGAAATTTTACAAAATCCTGCACATTGAGTATTTTTGGCATGCTTCTTTAATTATTTAAGATTAATTTAGAATACAACAATCAGCATTGGGTTTAGTAATTCCGATTGCGATTCAGCCAAAAAAGTGTAAAGTTATAATAAGCTACAAATGATCCATAGCAAACGATGAGATAATGTAAAACCAAAACTTATAGAAGCTAACACTAGCAGCTGCTGTTACAACTGTAAAATCCCTCACCTCCAGCGTGGTAACCTTCAGCACTCGACCTTTCAGTTCATTGGCCAATTGTTCCATGAACGCATCTTTGACGTCCTGACTGTTCTTTTCCTCGCTCTGATATAATCCCACCTCGCCCGTTTGTCGAGGCCTGCTGGGAGGTTCCGGTTCCACGACCGCAACATCCGCATCGACTGCCGTCGGTAGATTGAAACATAGTAACACAAAAAGCAGTAAAGAGCAACAATAGAGTGAAATTTTTGCACTATTCACTGTAAACGCTTCACTGGCACTCATGGTTGAGAATAATGGCACTTGGGTGGATCATTTTTTCTAGGAATTTGTACTACGAATTGGATAGGGAACTTTTGCTTTGCGGCTGGTTTATTGACTGGGAGGTAACGAGACGCAAACGGAAATCACGGGACGATTTAGCGCAAATAAATTGAACGGAAACTGAAAATTTTTCAAACTAAAGCTCTATAAGGCACCGCGAAACTAAAAGGGTTCGTTTCCTGTTTGCGTGATGTGCTTCTTTGCTTTCGGTTTCGCGTCTGCCTCAATCAAAGGTTCACAAGGAACTGAAAGATAGCTGTGGTTGTCGTTTGATGTACGGAACATTAATCATCATATGTATTGTGTCGTGTGTGATTGTGTGGTGCAACTAGGTATAGGACCTTTACTTTATCCTGGTCAGATGAAGGCTTTGAACGCCAATAAAGCTCTTCCAACGGTTGGCCTAGAGTAGACTGATGCAATCGTTTGCGAACGTGATCAAAGGCGGATGATAACTAAAAACACCCAAATGCAAACTTCTAAAACAAATTTCAGTGGTTAAGGATCATTCTGATCCACGAATAGTGTTAAATTGCCTACTGTAAAATAATTGCATAATGTATTTATATTGAACCAGTCTTTTGAAACGTTCCACGTTTTCAATACAAATCTGTTAAAAAATAAAGAAATCAACCATACAAATCTAATCATTTAACATTTGTAGCACTATATTTTCCTTTCAATATAAAGCTAACTGTAATTTGTTGAATGACACTGTTAATAAAACAAATCTACAAAGCATTTTATTTTTTTAAATAATCGATTGTTGACTTCGTAATTTATGTAACATTTCGACTTTCTCTTCTTTACCAGGATCAATTCATATTCTCACATTCAATGAATAAAACATGAACACTCACATACGTGGAATGCAATCAGTGGTCGGGTCTATTGAAGAAAAAATAAAGCAACGATGACAGTCCAGTCCGCATCGTGCTCTCTTGCCGTGCGGATCTATTTGCTTTTTGCTGAAGGAAGTGTTACTACTACCTAAAGCTACAACAAATTTTAACAGCACTTTTCAGTGCTCAACCTGTAAAAATTTTCTACCTTGTTCAACTCTTATTCCTCTTCGATCCTTGTTTGGACCCTACCCGAGGTAATCCTTCTTGGATATCGATTTGGAAAATTCCTCTTCGATCCTTCAGATTCTTATAGTAATCTGCTTGGAAGTCGATTTGGATAAAAATTTACTGCCGCCATGGCGCCTAAACGCAAAAGAAAGGGGCAAACTCTTGACCCCCCTTCTGATGAAATTAATTTGAGTAATCAATTTGATTTGCTCACGGATGATGAGAATGATCCATCATCCAAGAAAAATTCTAGTAAACTTTCCCGGCTTAATGCCAAGAAGGAAAAGATTCCCCCTATTGTGATAACCACTACCGATTTCCATGCTCTTCGCATGGAACTTTTGAATTTCGTGAAAGTTAAGTTTTCACTACAAATTGGACGTCGGGGTGAATGCCGTGTATTGGCTGAAACCTTGGACGGATTTAAATGTCTTCTCAAGTATCTTACTGAGAAGAAGCACAAATTTTTTACTTACGACACCAAAACTGAACGTGTGTTCAAGGTTGTCATGAAAGGACTGCCCAGTGGTGAATCCCTGGATCAGATCAAAGATGAACTGGTAAAATTACTTGGAGTTGTGCCACTCCAAGTAATCAAAATGAAAATGAAATCCCGTCCTGGCGATTCGCGCAACGGGATTTCTAATGATTTTTATTTAGTTCACTTCAAGTCTAGTGAACTAAACAACCTTAAGGCCTTAGAAAAAGCTAGCCTTATGCTCCATGTCCGAGTGAAGTGGGAACACTTCAGGAAGACTGGAGGAAATTTCCAAAACCTCACCCAGTGCCGTAAGTGCCAGGGATGGGGTCACGGAACTAAAAATTGCTACATGCCAGCTAAATGCATGAATTGTGGTGATTCCTCTCACGCAAAGGACGACTGTCCTGTGAAGGAAGATCCTAAGAAATTTAAATGTTCAAATTGTGGTGAAAACCACAAATCCAATTTTTGGGAATGTAAGACTCGCAAAGCGATCCTACAATCTCGTTCTAACCGTCAGGTAGGAAACGCTCCACGTTTCCGACCAGGTACAAATTCCTCTGCTGTTAACAACGGTCAGCGAGGAACAAATTCTACATTCGTACCCGTAGGTACAAATATCTCCCCTGCTTCAAATGTTTCATCTGTACCTACTCCCCTCGCTGCTAACAATGTTCAGCGAGTTAATGGAGCTACCTATGCTGCTATTGCAGCGGGTAGAAATCAAAATACTAACCAACGTTCTAATGGAAATTTTGACAATTTTGACTTAGGAAGCATTACTGCCCCCAAAATGGAATTTTTACAGAATTCATTAATTGACATGATTTCTGATATGCTTAAATCTAACTCCATGTTTGATGCTATTCAAACTGGAGTAAAATTTGCAAATAATATTGTCATGACTTTAAAATTCAGTAATGGATTTTAAAGCATTAAATATTGTAAATTGGAATGCTCGATCTCTTAAAGATAATGAAGACGAGCTATTTAACTTTTTAAGAGTTCATAACGTGCATATTGCCGTTATAACTGAAACGTTCCTTAAACCTGCCCATAAGGTTAAGAAGGACGCAAACTACTTGATTTATAGAAATGATCGTCTTGATGGACCCTGTGGTGGCGTTGCCATCATTATTCATAGACGAATCAAACATAAAATTCTTTCTTCATTTGAAACCAAAGTTTTTGAAACTTTGGGGGTTTCTGTTGAAACAAAATTTGGACAACTTACGTTTATAGCTGCCTATTTGCCATTCCAATGCGTAGGCCAGCAAAAGAATTTTCTCAAGGGTGACCTCCAGAAACTTACCCGTCATAGGTCTAAATTCTTCATTATTGGTGATTTTAATGCAAAACACCGCTCATGGAATAATGCTCAAAGCAATTCCAATGGTAATATTCTGTTTGATGATTGTTCTGCAGGTTATTACACTATTCAATATCCAAACAGCCCAACATGCTTTTCTTCTGCAAGAAATCCCTCCACTATTGATTTGGTCTTAACTGATTCATGTCAACTTTGTAGCCAATTGGTTACCCATGCTGACTTCGGTTCTGATCACCTTCCAGTAACTTTTGAAATATCCCAAGAAATAATTTGTAATCCCAACAGCTCTACTTTCAATTACCATAGAGCTGATTGGGAGCAGTATCGAACATTTATGGAATATAACTTCGATCCAAACATTCCTTTGCAAACCAAAGATGAAATTAATTATGCTCTTGAATCTCTGACTACTTCTATAGTTGAAGCAAGAGCTGCCTCAGTACCAAAATGCGAGGTTAAATTCGATTCAATTATAATAGACGATGATCTTCAGCTCTTGATCCGTCTTAAAAATGTCCGTAGGAGACAATATCAAAGAACACGCGATCCTGCCATGAAAGTTATCTGGCGGGATTTGCAAAAACAAATTAAAAAGCGATTCTCTGCCCTGAGGAACAAAACTTTTGAAAATAATATTTCTAAATTAGACCCGAGTTCCAAACCCTTTTGGAAACTCACAAAAATTTTGAAAAAACCTCAAAAGCCTATTCCAGCGCTTAAAGAAGGTGGTAAAATTTTGATCACAAATTTGGAAAAAGCTCAGAAACTTGCTAAGCAATTCGAGAGTTCCCATAATTTCAGTTTGGGTCTTACTAGTCCTATTGAGAATCAGGTTGCTCGGGATTTTCTGAATATTTTCTCTCGGGAAAATATTTTTGATGATTCCTGGGGGACTGATTTGGACGAAGTAAGGTCTATAACTAAAAATTTTCAAAATATGAAAGCTCCAGGTGATGATGGAATTTTCTATATCCTCATCAAAAAACTCCCAGAGAGTACCTTGTCTTTCTTGGTAAAATTATTTAACAGATGTTTCCATTTGGCATACTTTCCTGATAAATGGAAAAATGCAAAAGTTGTTCCAATTTTGAAGCCGGATAAAAATCCAGCTGAAGCTTCTAGCTACCGTCCAATAAGTTTGCTTTCTTCAATAAGTAAACTTTTTGAAAAGATAATTTTGAATAGAATGATGCTTCACATCAATACGAACTCAATTTTTGCAGATGAGCAGTTTGGATTTCGCCATGGGCATTCAACTACTCATCAACTCTTAAGAGTTACCAATTTAATTCGTTCAAACAAATCTGAAGGCCACTCAACTGGAGTTGCTCTTCTAGACATAGAAAAAGCATTCGACAGTGTTTGGCATGAAGGTTTGATTGCTAAATTGAAAAAGTTTAATTTTCCACTTTATATTATGAAATTAGTTCAAAATTATTTAACTGACAGAACTCTTCAAGTAAATTATCAAAATTCCAAATCTAATCGACTACCTGTTAGGGCAGGAGTTCCTCAGGGTAGCATTCTTGGGCCTATATTGTATAACATTTTCACTTCGGACCTCCCTGATTTGCCTCAGGGTTGCCACAAATCTTTGTTCGCTGATGACACAGGCATTTCCGCTAAAGGAAGAAGTCTTCGTGTTATTTGCAGCAGACTTCAGAAAAGTTTAGATATTTTCTCTTCTTATTTACAAAAATGGAAGATTTCTCCCAACGCTTCCAAAACTCAACTTATAATATTTCCACATAAGCCTAGAGCTTCGTTTTTGAAACCTAGTAGTAGTCACATAGTCACTATGAACGGAGTTCCAATTTCCTGGTCAAACCAAGTGAAATATCTTGGATTAATACTTGACCAAAAATTAACTTTTAAAGATCACATTGAGGGCATTCAAGCCAAATGTAACAAATATATAAAATGTTTGTATCCTCTTATAAACAGGAAATCCAAACTTTGCCTGACGAATAAACTTCTAATATTTAAACAAGTTTTTAGACCGGCCATGCTTTACGCTGTGCCAATATGGTCTAGTTGTTGCACTACCAGGAAAAAAGCACTTCAAAGGATTCAGAACAAAATTCTGAAAATGATTTTGAAGTTGCCTC